CCATTCTGTGATTCTATGATATGTTAACAATTCAGTTTGATTCAGAGAAGTCATGAAGCAATCAACAAAACAGCCAGGGTAACAGAAAGTAACCCTATGGGAATGTGAGGGGCTAGTGTCAGTTGTAAAGAACAAAAAGAAATGAGCAACCAAGAGGAACTAAGAAAATAAGCTAGTGATTATTAATTTATCAAACTACATCAAAGCAATTGCTCCGATTTCAATTTTAGTGCTACAATAGGACCTTGATGAATGAAGTTTTCAAAAGTTGCCCATGTGTCACTTTGCCTAATGAATTCTAACACAAAATTAACATGACGTATGCTGTGAACTGTTTCAGTAACAGACCCCAAAATGCACTTACGAAGTCACTCAGTAGATACATCTGTTATGGAGTGCTGCAGGAATCACTCCTGTACTGCCCAGCATTTTATCAATAAACTGGATGAAAACAGAATCCTTTGAAAATATAAAGAATTTGAGATGGGATGTAGAAGAGGAGAGTTGGAAGGAAAAGCAAGCTGCTAACACAATGAAAAATTGTTTCTCACACTCACTACAGAAAAAAACATTTGAAAATACTATTAAAAAACCAAGCGCAAATCCAGAACAGGAAATATGTCATAATAAACAATCTTGGGAAGAAGAACTTCAAATCGTGACTGAGATGGTATGGCAAGACTTCTATGGGAAGCCTCATGCTGCCACCTAAAGGAGACTCGTCAGCAGCCACTTCAATCTTGGTTTTGTTAGCCAGTTTCAAGAAACAGTCAAGTCAAAAGGGGACTATTAAATTTCAATACACAAAGATATCATCAAATCAAACACCTCTGCACCAAAACAACAAGTCCCTTAACTTTAAGAACAGATCTTTTGGATTTTTCTTCTTGTTGTCTCACTTACCTAAGTCTCTAAGAAAAAAGAACTTCAAAGACAGTATTAGGGAAAACAATCCTAAGAAGCTCTGTTCAAACTCCACATCTAATTTGATGTGAAAATTTTCCTAAGATAAATGTATATTATGACACACAAAGCATTCCATGTATTATAACCTTGAGGAAAGACTTCATTAACAAGAAGTTACAAACACGGAGAGCTTTCATAAAGCTTGAAAATTCGAGATTTCCGTTACCATAGACTGCAGGTTATAACTGTTGGACCTCAGCTATTTATTTTTTCCCCAGTAAAAATAAATGGAAATGCATGCAACAAATATTGCTAACAAGAACCGTGTCAGCTTTAACGTAACTCAGGCTCTACTTAAACTTCCTTTAGCAGGACAGAGGTGCCTGGCATTTAAGCCTACAGCTTAACTGAAAAAGCCAATCATTAATCTTTGCATTTGACTCAGTTTTACACTGTTATACCTTAACTTCTACTCCACTAAATGCTTTACACAGACTTAACAGATGCTAGCACTGAAAGCAAAATAAACTTGCAGGGAGTGTGTTAAAACAGCCTTAATGATCTGTTAGTAAGAAAGCATTAGGATATCCAAGGTTTACAGTCAGGAAGACCCTAAAGGTCTATTACTGCTTTTTGTTACTTCACTGAAAGGAAGGCGAAAGACATGTAAGTTTTAAAAAACTTTTAGTGCACTGTGTAGTCCACAAGTAACTGCAACCAAGGTCTACGTTAGAGCAAAAAATCAAGTAGAAAAAGTTAAACGTGTCAGTACGTACAGGCAGCTTTAAAAGAAACACGATACTCTTGAAATCCTCAAAGCTGGATCAACCTGTTAGCAACAGAGTCCTAAATGTGATGATGATGAGAGCAGCTCCTCCTTCAAACAACTAATAAAACTTGTCTGTTTGTAAGTGGGATGAAGGTCAACTTGAGTACCCAGTGGCATTACCTCCTGCCACAACTGAGTGTGGAAAGAAAAAGCAGCTACAGAAGCAGAAAACAGTACAAACTCCAAGTGACAGGAGAATCCTACACACAAATGAAAGTTTCATTGAGGAGGCAGTACAGGAAGTTGGACAGAAGTACTGCCAAAAGTCTTCCAACAAAAGCTCCAGTATCTGAGTGGGAAATTAAGCAAAGTGACCTGATTCAGTTAAATCAATGTTAAGTCAGGTACAGAAGCCTACGTGGCACTAGAAAACACCAGATTAACATACAGCCTCTTGTTATTTCTGCTAGGGTGTCTCCCCCATGCAAGTAGGCTGTAAATTGAAGAGGTAAGGTGTCTCTCTCATCCTGTTTCAGAAGGTCACTGTGACTGTCAGACACCCGCCAAATCTGCCAATCCACTTTTCCAGACACAAATGTACCAGGAGCGCGCGTTTTAGCGTGAAGATTTGCAGTGCAGTCAGTTATATCTGTGTACAGCACTTACATTCATCCAGTCCCAGCTGGTAAGCCAGGTTCTGCAGGCCACGAACCTTCTCCATCAGGTTAGCTGTAGTGAGGCTCCCCAGCTCTAAGAAGAGAGAAAAGTGTGAATTTTAACACTGGTTATAGCTCTCTCGTAACAGTTTACATGTATACTACTTCACAGAGCACTTACAAGTCATATGTCTGACAATATCTACTTCCAGTGGACAGAGTACGTTCGAAATTCAAGCTGATGCCACCCCTGATTTTAACATACTGAGAAAAGACCAGCTTTCTCTAGTGAAAAAGACACCAACAGCTCTGGTTCATACTGCCATCTGCCACCAACACAATGAGCAACTTGTCCCATATTTTGGAAGTTCTTGGAAGTTCACATTACTACGTGAACAAGCTACAGAAGCCTATGCAAGCGAATGGACTTACTATACACTAATAATGTGTGTTTAAGCACATTTCTTGCAGCAAGGAGAAAGTAACTTGTCCCACTTTCCCTTTGGAACAGTTTATCTGGAATTCACGAAAGGCAGAGCATGCTCAAGGATGCTGACTGCAAACTAACAGAGATAACACGCAGCAAATGTACACGCTAGCCAGCCCTTCTGTAACGTGCTCACGCAGCCTTAGCGTTGGATTAAATCTTGGATCTATGAGCGAAGACAGGTGCATAGGGCATCTCTGGATCAGCCAATCAACAAGGTTAAGCTGCTCACCAAGCGCAATCACCTGATGCCCACCCAAATACTTCACGCCACTTCTCCAACCACAGGAGACACCCACTGTACCTAGGCAGTGAGGGATTGGCAAGCGAGGCAACTGAAACATAGGTAACGTTACGCAGCTTCAACTAGTTCTCACGTGCTGGTTTTGAGCAATCGGCCTGCCACTGACATCTGCATATTTTCTTGGAGATAACTGGATTAATGAAAAATGTGGATCGTTAAGAAGATAAAGAGACTCCTGAGCTGGTGATTCTGGAAACTGAGGACTACAGATCTGAGGCCACAGGGAAGTGTGTTAAAACAGCCTTAATGAGCTGTTAATAAGAAAGCATTAGGATATCCTAGATTTACAGTCAGGAAGACCCTAAAGGTCTATTACTGCTTGGAAGATTCCAACCTTCAGAAATAAGACAAATCAACATTTCAACAAATCAACATATAATTAAAACAAACCAACCAACCACACCCACAAACAAGAAAACAACCATTTGGGCATCCAGGACAACACCTGTGAAATAAGTACTGACCAAAATAAAAGAACTACTCGCCATTCTTTTACCTCCAGAACATTTAAAGAACAAGTGGTTTAAGTCTCTCGAGTAAGTATCAAATTTCCATCTTCTTTGACAACCTTACTTCCTACCCATGTCCATACTCACCCTTTAACATATCGATATCATCATTTTCTAATTCAGCCATCCACTTGGGAGGAGAACTTGTAATAGGCTGTTTTGAAAACAACAAAATTCATACTCAGACAAGTGCATTTTTAGAATGATACAAAAAAGTCTGACCAGTCCCATATTGAAAACTAATTCCACTGATAGCAGAAGGATCAGAGCTCCAGGTGCTCTATAAAGGTATGTTTGTGCTTAATCTTGTTTTCCAGCTTTCTCTTGAGTTTTTAGGGTTAAGAACAGCACACTACCACACCCAAGCAGTATGAAAAGAAGGATTTCCTAGAGTTTAAAGCCTTTTATTCCTTCCAGGGTGTAATTTTTCACAAGAAGATACATAAGGTATTGGAAAAAACTACATAAAAGCTATACAGGAAACAGAAGGATTATTCTGACATACACCGAAGCTACCATCGAGATGCGCTTTACAGAACAAGGATGTAAAGGCCACAAGAGGAAAGAGCAGATCTACCACCACACGGGAAGGGGGCAAACGCAAACGGCGCTCACTCACGCTTTTGAATGAGGCGGCGAACTCGGCAACCCCGGGCACTGCGAAGAGAAAACCAAGGGCAGCGGGGGTGAGCGCCTCAGGCGGCAGTACGCAACCTCCCTACCCCCGCCAACCCAGCCCTATGGGCCCCGCCTGGCCCGCAGAGCTGCCCGGGGCGGGGGGGTCAC